TCATTCATTGAAATATAAACACCTAGGATTATTTCTTACATTTCAGAATAAATCACATATAATAATTTAAGAATGGGCGGCTGGAGTTGTAGCTCAGTGATAAAGTGCTTGCCTCACATTGCATTTAAATAAATGAAAGAAAGGTCCATAGACAACTAAATTTTAAAAAATACTAATTTAAGTATGGTATAGTCTATTAGTTTTATGCACATGTCTTCTGAAAAAAATTAAGAAATGAATTCAGTAATTTACAAGTCCATCTATATAATTTAAATATATAATATCATTTTCATCTGACTAAATCAATCTAGTCATCTTCAGTTCCAAAATTGTTAATTAAGTTATTAACTCTTTTAGGTCCATTTTTCTTTATTTTTTTAATATGGCTAATGTAATCAAAGCTCATAAACTCAAAACCAGATTAGTATGTGTTCAGTCTCTCCCAAACTTAATCTACACTTATATTCATAAGTAACTTCAAATATCAAGAATTGTTCAAGTAAAAATGGAAAAAAAAGTTATCAAATTTAATTTGTGATGGTCAAAGTATGCAATAAAAGTCAATCACAGAATTTAAGGTGTATATGAATGGGTATCTGGAGTTATATATACTGGTGATATCACTAAAATATATGAGATGATGATAGGTACTCAGGTAAGTTATTAGGAAAAGTTCAGATTTTATAATAAAAGTAAAAAGTGTGTATATATTACACACACTCACACACATACCCAAACATGCATGCACTCTAAGAAAGAGAGAAAGAGATTGAAATTTAGAAAAGTAACTAGAAGAATAACTAGGGATTTTTCTATACACCATACACAAAGAATGCTATAATTGGGAGTTAAGTGTTTATCCTAAGAATCTGAAATTTTGTTTTTAAAGGTTTCTACCGCCTAACAGTCTCTGAATCTTCACCCATTGGAACATCTATTGGAAAAATTATGGCATATGATAGTGACATAGGAGAGAATGCAGAAATGGATTACAGCATTGAAGAGGATGATTCAAAAACATTTGACATCATTACTGATAATGAGACTCAAGAAGGAATTGTTATATTAAAAAAGGTAAGTATATTTTCAGATTATTTGCTTCTCAGAATATGCAAAACAAAAACAAAAAAAAAACCTTAATTATTTTGTGTATCTGGTTTGTTTTTTGCTTCATTAAGTAATTGTAATGTGAACCCTTGATTTATGGTTTAAAGGGAAAATGAGTTCAGAGATGAAAGAGATTTTATAGAGCTTTTAGAATTATATGTACAACTGTTATAAATAAGAAGGTTTTCAAATAAAGGAGATTTTTTGAACAAAGATCCTAAATACCAGGAAATTATTTGTCAACTCCACAAGACATGTATGCTTATAAAAATATAATTTTAATTCTAAATGAAAAGATAGTTACTTCAAACCACTTTACGATAAAGTTTGTGAAGAGATAAATTTCCGAAGCCTGTGTCATGATAATATAATAGTAATTCATTTACATAAAAAGTGAAATTTAACTGAAAAACAAATGCTATTTAATAAGCAATACATTTTTTTTTCCTAAATAATACCTTGGGTTCCTGAAGCCATTTCTTCTGTGTACACTGCTTTTCTTTGTAGAAGGTGGACTTTGAGCGCCAGAGCCACTACGGGATTAGAGCCAAAGTTAGGAACCGGCATGTGGACAAGGAGCTCCTGATCTACCATGCCAATGCCTCCACCACTTTCATTAAGGTCCGAGTGGAGGATGAAGATGAGCCTCCTGTTTTCCTCCTCCCAACTTATATATTTGAAATTTTGGAAGAAAATCCACATGGAGCTTTTGT